ATATTAATGCATTCTGACAGCAATAAATTGAAGTACAGTTATTGTTGTTATCATTTTAGATAAGATTTCAATTGTTTTCTTTTTCACTTTAGAGATAACCTGGAGTTTGTATTGATTGATTTTACGATCTCAATGAAGTCTATTATTAATTCTAGCTCTTGTTTGATAGTAAGTTCTCTTGTTTAGCAATTATCTATTTTATTGCGTAAAAATCGCATGGAACTGCATTCAGTGTCTGAGTCGAATATATAATTGATTATTTTTGAAGCAGCAAAGTCGAACTAATGTTGTGAACTCTGAATGACAACATACAGTATTAAATTTTATGCACTCATCAGTCTAAAATACATATAAATATATACATTATATATAATATATATACTTTGGTATACATGGTACTTTCTTAAATTGTAGCCATGAATATAAATGCCTAAAAAAATTGAGATGAGATTTTCTTTAAAAATTATTTTATTCAGAACTTCTGCAGATGTATTTAATTTTTTATTTTCGTCAAAAAGATAACGAAATTTCATAATTGTAAAACACTTAATGTTTTTTTTTTACAATAAATAATAAGCATGGATTTAGATGCTTAAATTGAGATGAAAATGTTTTAAAAAATTATATTCAGTACTTTTACAGATAAATTTACTTTATTTTTGCCAAAACAACTGAATTTCGTAACTGGAGAGATAATTTGTTATCCGAGATTTTAATACTACTTAATTTTATTTTCAAGGTGCATAAGTGTTAGATTCGAATAAATATATTTGTAAAAAAAAAAAAAAATTCTATTTCGTTTAAAGATACGTTTTTAAATGCTTTACTTATACTAAACTGATTAAAAAAAACTTCTAAACTAAAGAATAATTTGATGATGAAAAGCAGAAGTGAAATAATAATCAGTAAATTATTTTGTTCTGTGGTAACGTTTTTGTTTTAGGAAAAAAGCTCAATAGAGATAAAAAAAAAAATCAGATACTATCATTATTAAAAATGAATTTTTACATGTCTTATCATTGGATAAAGGAATATTATAGTTGTGTGCAATTTTTTTTTCAATTCTCCCAAAAACTACCTAACACAATGTGAAATATATCAGAAATAAAATTAAAATTATTTAGCTTGAGCTTTTGACTATATAATTTTTGATGGTGAAAATCCAAGATCATAAAAAAAAGGTATGTTTATTATTTAAAGAAAGTATGTTTATGTAATATAACAATATGGTCTGCACTAATTAGCATTCTTGAAATAAACTAGATAGACACTTAAATGTGAAAATCCGATCATTAGAGCAAACATTATTAGGGGTATTTTTATATATTTATTATTTTCTTTTCACATTGTACAGAAAGAGCTGATAAACAATTTGCATGTACAGAAATGATCAAATGTAACTATCACACCTAAGCAATGATGTCACTGAAATATATAAATAGAAAGAATTTGATTTTATCTCTACTTTTGTTAATAACTCTACTTTTTGTTTCTGTTGGTTTGTTAATTTTTGTTTATTGTTGACTAGCAGCGATACTTTTAAAGTAAAATATTTTCACATTCTTCAGCACAAAATGAATTGCTTCCTTAACTTACCACTGAATTTCAATAACATTAAAATTCTTCAGTCAAAGATTTTTTTCTTCTTCGATAACTAGCATTTTATGAACGGTTACCCAGCAACGGACTTGTTTTGGAAGCAATCATCTCTAAACATCTCAGAGATTTATTTGTGTTACATAAGTATACAACTAATTTTGGTACGAAGAATGAATAAATTCTAAATGGCAACATGCCTCATCCTGATTGATATAATTTAAAAAAAAAACTATATACTTTGTGTTTATGATCTTCATCTGGAAAACTACAGTATAACAGATATTTTATTTATAATCTCACTATTCTGTAAAACACTTGATTCAGCAATACAAAAGACAAATTAAAAATAAGAAACTTTTATTTTTCTTAAAACATAACAATGTATAAATAAGTAATATCACATTGCACCTGGGCAAGACATAGATGCTTATGTCTTTTACAATGAATTAAATAAATAAAAAAGTGTATAAATAATATTTTAAATTTAAAAATACAGATAAAATGATTAAAAATAAAACAATAAATGACGGCAGACAAACAAGCTTTACAAAACAGAAATTGATGATCAATTCAATAAAATTAAAATTAGTACATGAGCATTAAAAAATCTGAGAATATGGTGTTAATGACTAGCATTATACTCAGACTCATTTATACAATTAAATTAATGAAACTGGAATTGAATTTTTCACAAAAGATGAAGCAACCCCAAAAGCAGAAACCCCTGAATCGATCTGCAACACAATGCAAAAGTCTAAAAAGCCCGTGATTAAATACTTATATTTATTCATTTTTTGTCTACAAGGCAAAATAAATCTGAGGATGTATTAATTCTGCTGCTGAGGTAGCAACTATAAATTATTATTAAATAAAGTAGTAGTTTGATTTTATAAATAAAGCAATGTATATAGCATATTTAATAATCTGATTCTTCGATTTTAGAAACATTAATTCCTGCAAAAACAGTCAATATCAAAGTATAAAAAAGAAATAAGGTATACAGAAAATGTACACTGAAACCATTTAAAAGAATGTTAATGATTTCAGATAGTTTACAAACTGTCAACTGACAGTTCGCAAAACTTTGCTTTTTATGATTGAGAAGAATTTATAAAGTTATTTTAAAATAAAAATCGAGCAATAAAAAAATGCAAACTTATCATAATACATAGATTGTAATAATTGCAAAGTACAAAAAGATTCCTTGGCATGAATACCATAAATCAACACAATTTCATGAAGACAAAAACATTTTCATAATATTACGTCACAATGACAGATAATCAGATAGGACCATCCATAGTTCAGATTATGATTTTTATCAGATAATAAATGAACTGTAAAATAAAAAAAAAAGGTTAAGTGATATTTTATTGATTTTGGGGTTTGATTATTTTATTAATTTTGGGGTTTGATTATTTTATTGATTCTTTACTTGTAACATTGCTGTTTTTCGAATCCATGAATATACCTATAAACTTTCACTAAATATGTTTTTTTTTAAAACTAGATTTTTAATTACCAAATTCAAAAAGCCACTTGACAAGAAATTATTTTTTAACTACATTTACAGTACCTTCTTTTGGTGCAAGGCAAGAATGAATCTTGAAATCGAAATTTCTACCATTTTTTTTTTACTAGATAATAAATTTTTTTCTGTAGCTCTGCTCCTGATGACAATGCACATTTCCATACTTTCTTGCTCACTAAAAGCAGAACTTATAACCATGTGATCAAGAAAGGGAATTTATGGGCAATTGAAATATCAACGACTTTCAGATAAACTAGATCGCTGAAATTTTAATTAGAGCTTTGTACTAGATGACAGTACAAGCTAACCAAATTTATTGCCTATTTTATTGTCCATAAACGGAATTTATTATCAAAGTACAGCCAAGAGAAATTTATTGCAAATTAAGTTGGACCACTTTCCATCTAGCCCGAGCACTTAAAACTGTACTGAAGTTCTGTCTCAAAAACAAGGCAAGTTTCAAATGTTTTCTGATCACTACAATTAGATCTTATCGTCATATTATCGCCAACGGGAAATTATCATAGGTAAAAATTATATCCACTACTTATTTTCAACAAGAGCTCTGCGCTGAATGACAGTACGGGTTCCAATTATTTCATAGTCATAAACGGAATCAGTCGCCATAGTACCGTCAAAAGAAATTTATTGCAAATTAAAATGATGTATAGAAAGCTTTATGATTTATAGAAAGCTCAGTTATTGTACCAACTGCAGGTTGCATATCTGAAAACATTTTGAAAATTCTAAATTAATGACACAAAACTTATTTTCATCAAAAATGACTTATTGCTAATGCTGCATTGTTAATAAATTTAAATTGCATTCAAAATATCATTGTACACCTCAAAATTAAACATGAACTATGCAAACACTAAAAATATTTATTACAAATATTATTACTATTTTTTGTCAAAAATTAGTATTGACAGGCATTAGCTTGAAAAAAGATGAGGAACACACATTAAAATACATAAAATAGGATAAAAAAATGTATATGAAAGACAATTAAGATGAGTGCTGATATATTTTCTTGAGAAATCTTCAGAGGAAGGCATTGGCTCACATTGGGCTGTCTGGCCAACTATTATGATGAAGCAGATATATTTTTATTGAAAAAGTTTAAGCATGAATTTAAATACTATGGATTATTAATTAGAGGACTATGAATAAGAGGATCAACAGGGTCAGATAATATTGCATAGTATTAGAAACATATACAGTTTAGCTTGGAAAACAGAATATTAAAAATAAATTTTTTTTTATTTTGATTATAGCAAATTGCTACTTAAAATATCGATGATTTGTGTAGAAAAACGGGCTGTAGAAACTTCGGTTCAATTGGCAGAACTCATAATTATAAAAAAATTATCCTATAGAAAAGCAATTTTATAAAAACCAGTTTGCCTTAATTGTTATCCGAGGATAAATAAAAAGCTTTATTCATTTAGTTTGTATACATTTTGTAAAGAAAATGGAAAATCATCAATGAAGTGTTAATTTTAAAATTATGAACACTTTTTCTTTTTAGAAATTTTATAGTTTTAAATTTTTTATAGAAATTTAAAATAATTTATATTTTTTTAATTTCAGTTCAAATGAACATAACTTCAGTTTAATTGTCACAACATATAACTATACAAAAATAAATTATATTAATAACAAAAGTAAAGCAATTTTGCAAAATCTAGTTTGCCAATACTTAGGCTCAATCTTTTTCAGAAAATAAATATAAAGCTTTATTTAAATAGTTTGAATGCATTTTGTGAAGTTTAAAATGGAAAATAGTCAAATGAAGTGGTAATTTTAAAATTATCAACACTTTCTCTCTTAACCTATAGAAATTTCATTTTTTAGAATTGTTTATAGGAATTTGAAATAATTTATCTTTTTTTAATTTTAGTTCAAATGAGTATAACTTTGGTTGAAAACACATAATTCGATAAATAATATATTAGTGAATGAGCCCCAATTAAGCCACTTTGAAACATTATAATTTCCATCAATTGGCCTAATTCTTTATCAATTGATGTTAAAGTTTTAACTAATTTCATACATTTTGAGAAGTGCATCAAAAAGTTCAAATAAGTATAACTCTGAAAACATATAATTCGACAAAAATAAATCAGTGAATGAGTCCCAACTAAGCCACTTTGAAACATTATAATTGACATCATTTGACCTAATTCTTTATTAATTGATGTTGTTAAAGTTTTATTTAACTAATTTCATACATTTTGAGAAGTGCATCAAAAGTTTTTGGCAGAGTAATTATTTTTCAACGTCTTATAGATAATTTTTTTAAAAAAAAATGCTTTAAAAGGAAATAAATAAACAGTATAAAGAAAATAAATAAACAGTAAAATTGTGGATACTTTAAGGAAAAATTTCACATCTGTATGTAGTTTTAGATACATTCATTTGAAGTCAACATTTTGCCAACAAACTTCAAGATGAACATGTAGGCATTTACTTAATGGATAAAAATAGTGTAGTACATAAAAGTATTCAGCACTATTAAAGTACCACAAGATAGGTTTTTTTGGCATATAAATTGAGGATTAGTAACAAGGATGTTTACATAATACCCATCATTTTACCAATACCATTTCAATTGTAGTTTGTCTTCGGTATAAAACTGGTAAGAAATTCTTCAAATATGCTCCACTTTCAACAATAAACTATGGAGCACAACAGAACTTTCATCCTTGATATACCATTCAGCATCACTACTATCATCAAAACATTCTGGAGATCCATGCTGTGGATGCTCAGTTCCAAAAGAACCAGGTCGAATAAAAACTTTAAATGAAGCTTTTGCCTGGTATTTTTCTTTGGTTTTAGAATCTAAAAACCTATAAAGAAAAAGGCATACTTATATTCAGTGTGTAAAAGATTTTTAAAATTAGATCTATAAGATAGAAATCAGCAAAAAATTATTTTCTTATTATCGAACAATAGCTTTAAAAACATCTTTGTAGTGATTTGCATATTTGAAGCTCTGTAAAATTCTTCTAAATCGTAAAGATTTCTTCTAATTTGAAGGTTTCTTCTATACCCGAAGGTTCTTTCCAACCTTCATCAAATCTAAAGGTAACTCAAGAGAGAATATAGTTAACCCGTCTTATATACTAGTAAATTTATGTTTAATAATCATAGTGGTAGTTACGCCACACACATATTATTAAATTTTTTTATTTATATTTTGTAGATTAGTAAATTCAAATTAAATATTTTTAAAAATAATAATAGTTTAACGTCAGCAATAATAATAATGAATAAAGTATTTTAGTAGTTTTCAGTACTTTATAGAATGAATAAAAAATTACTTTTTTTAAGAGTAATTTTCGTAAAACAAATTTTTTTATTTATATTTTGTAGATTAGTAAATTCAAATTGAATATTTTTAAGAATAATAATAGTTTAAGGTCTGCATTAATAATTATGAATAAAGTATTTTAGTAGTTTTTAGCACTTTATCAAATAAATAAAAAATTACTTCTAAAAGTAAGTAACTAATGAGATAAAACAGTATTCCCAATCAATTTCAGAAAAAAAATTCCTGGACTTTTCCAGTTAAATCAAGAAAATTTTAATGAAAATCCAGATTATATTTTATCTATAACATGTAATTTTTATCAGAAAACTTTGATTCTTTTATTTCTAATGTCAAATATTAGATTCTTTGAGAAAACAGTATCCTTGAATGAGAATAAAAATATGGAAGTTTCACAAATATGTGAAATTTTAACAACAAATAATTTAAGATGTTAGAAGTTATTTAACTTGAATCTCAACAATTGAGTACTGTTACTGACAATTCTAAGACAGAATCATTTTCCAGGAATGATGTAAGAATTTTCCACTTTTTTTGTAACAATTACAACTTTTCCTGACTATTCCTTACTTTTTAGAGTGAAAATAAAATTCTCTGACAATTCCAGGTTTGTCTGTTGTCCTTCACCCATGGGAGCCTTGTAAATATATTTAAAATATAAATCGATAAACTTGTAAATCAAAGTTGTTTTTATATGTTTCATAATTAAAAAATAACAATATTTTTTTTTTTCATTTTTATTTTTTTATTTCCAATGGCAGGCCAATTCAAAAGAACAAAAAGGATAAAATAACAAGAAAAACAAGGCAAAAAGAGATAAATAGAATTGAATGCATAGTGACATGCTTAGCCCATATGGGCCCTAGCCTCCCAGTAGCGTCCACACATAGTAGTGGAGATGAGCACAGGACAGACGGAAATATGGGGCAAGTCCCTGTCCTCCCCAAGGTGACAGAGCTTTCATTTAGGACAGTCAAAAATGTTTATGCTAAAAAGGTGTTTGGCCAGACAGTCATGGCCCGTTACAAGTCTAAAGAGAATGACTGCCTTAAACCTGGGCTGATTTGGGATAGTTAAAATATGGTTGAACCAGGTTTTGTGTATATTGCTTTTACGGAAATTCTCTGAGAGCATGTTCCGGAATTTGTTTCGAGCCAGCAATTCAAATGAGTGTAGAGAGATGGAGCAACGAGATGCTTGGGCAACAGTTGTTCCTTTCTTGGTCAAGAAATCAGCTTTTTCATTACCCCAAATCCCACAAACACAAAGCATACAAATCCCACAACCCGCAAAAATAACAATATAAAGCAATACATATTATAGACACATAAGTTCATCAGAAAGTATTTAACTATCGTAAATTTTTTTAAAACTTAATTATTGAGAAAAAAAACTTACTCAAAAGCTTTAGCAAACTTGGATGATCCAGCATGCACTATTGATGGCGAAATCATTACATAATTGTTATCAAACTTAACACTTTTTCCTGGTGATTTCTTTTCACTTTTAAGACTAGAACACACTGAAAATTAAATAAAGGTATTAATAATAAAAAAAAATTAATGAAATGTTTTTGAGTATAGAATGATTAAAGTGAATTTTAAGATTTTGTAAATAAATTTCAAAAACAGCATAATTTGAGGTAAAAAGTTAGATATAGAAAGCATTGATATAAAAAGCTTTGTATTAAAAATGATTTAAGGTTTAAGGGTCAAAAATGAGTTATAACTTCTAAAGATATAACTCAAATGCATGCATTGTTGAGTAGAGTTTGTCAATATTCATTTAGATGTAATTTTCATACCTCAGATTTCCATTTTACTCTTCAATTTTATATTAAGTTTAAATACTTATTGCAAATTTTTTGTTAAAACTATTAGTTTTTCTTCACGCTATTATAAAAAGAAAATCCCTTTAAAAATCAATAGATTGAATTATTTATTATAACTGCATGAACAATGAACATAATAGACTTCTGTAAATATATCAGTGATAAATCTAGAGAGAGTGACACAACAACCCTTTTATATATCCTGAATACATTTTGATTCAGGTTGAATGAATAATTTATTATGATTAATTATTAATTAATTATCAGGACATTGATTTTTAATTATTCCAAAATATTGACAACAGCTGCAACTGCTTAGGGAGTAGGTTTTGCATCCTGAAAAATAAAAATAAAACAAGCTTCACTTGCAAAAAAACATTAAGTTGACTTCTCTAGATTGTCCTGGGAAAGACCAAGCACACCCCTTTTCATGCTAACAATAATGCTAATTTTATTTAATTTTGGCCACACTGTAAAATTGTGGGAAAAAAAGGTTCATAAAAAATTGAGTACAATATATTTTATTAGCAAGTTTTTTAAAACTTTATCGAATTCTAATTAACCAGTATGAAGAGCAGAAAAATTGAAAAATAATGTGGAATAATGATTTAGGTTAAATATTCGACCAAAATTTCCAGAGGGTTTGATTCACATTAATAACGTGTCAGTTATAAATTAGCGAAAATTTACGAATTTAATCTCTGTTTTAAGTTCACTCCTGGATTTTAAATTTCACTCCTCAAAGATTAATAGAGGCGAGAAATTACTCACTTAAGTTTTTTTTTTTATATATAACACTGGTTGTGAGGTGACAGTATGTAGCAACAACGAGAAGAATGGAACTTCCAACTTTCTAGAATGCACTGCAGTGTGTTAAATCTATCAGTTAAAGATGTTCCGCGATAGGCCTATCTGCTTTATGAAGCATCACTACAACACTGACCCTATAGAGAGCAGGGTGAAGGAATGGTTCAGCGTGAAGCCATGCCGGTTTATATGGTCGTGTGTTGCTAGTGAAGTTCTTTGCCCTAACACAGGAAACTTGAGTAACATTTGAACTGTTGAATGTAGCTTAGTTTGTTAAACTAGCAATGCTATCTAATGCAAAAGATGAACTGTACTACAGTTTGTTGTTGGTGTCACAGGAGTCGTATGTTGTTGCAAGAGAGATGCATGGTGCTGCCATCTATTACTGTACAAGAAAATTACATGTTTCTTTAATTAAGGTTCATCAACAGAAGTAAGAGTATGTTAGGACAGCATGCTGAAGGGCAGAAATCCTAATTACACAGCATTGTGTTTTTTCTCTCGGCTAAAAATGATTGAACGGCGATCCACTAATTGTTTTACGAAATATAGCTAAGTTGGTTACTTTAATCCTGCATTTATTACTAGTTGTAGCATTTTTAGTAAAGAAAATAGAAACAAAAGTAAATTAAATACAAGTATGAAAGGATAATTTTTTTTTTTTATCATTCTTTGATAAAATTTTTTATGAATTCCCAACAATATTGCAAGCAATTCTTTTTTTTTTAAATAAAAAAAGAAAATCTAAAAACATTGAAAATCGTTTAGGTTAAATATTGCTTTGAATATGTTTAGAAAACATATTTAATTCTTCTACTTAAGAGCCTGAGATGTCAATTACTAGCAAAGATCCAGAAAAACTGGTCAGACAACAGTTAATCCACAGTTATTTTCACAATTCACCATTTATTTACTGAATCTGAAGAGAGGAATGGATTGTAAGAAGCTGCCAAAGCAAGGAATAAAACTCTAGGTCTATAATTTTATGACCAAATTGTTGCCCACTCCCACTATACCACCATTCTGAAAAAGAAAAAAAAAAGATATTAGCTTATTATAAATGAAGAACATACCTGAAGGAAGGATTGATCCTTGCTCTAAAACTTTTCTTAAAGTTCTAAAATTAACAGCATAGTAACCAACACGCCATTGATCTAATTCATTCACTTCATTTTTAGAACTGCATCTAAAAATATTCAACATTGATTATGAGTTTAGAAATTCTTACAGTAAGTAAGAAAAAATCAGTAAAAGAAATTTGAATGACACTTTTTCTTACACTAATGGGAAACAACACCAACCAAATGGTTGTGTACAGTAGTTAAGACAGTCTTTAAGGGATGTTTCTTCCTGTTCTATGTTATGGCATGTTTTACAATAACAAACAATTCCAGATGGCACAAAATATGTATCTAAAAATAATAATTAGATAAAATTTTGAAAACAATTTTAAAAAAAGATTATCTTAAATTATCTTAATTCTTTCAAAGTCAAAATAGTAAAAAAGAAAATTAACATTATTAGCATATAATTTAGTTGAAGGAGAAAAAAAGTTAGTGAATTTCATAAATATTGTGAATTAAAAGACAATTAGATTTTTTTTTGATAACAAATTTTTAAATAAATTAATTTACCATATAATCGTAAGTTCATCTTTAGAATAGCACAAATCTTTTGCATCTCACATATGTTTGATGACGGACTAGAGTTAAGAGATTTTTGAACACCTTGTTCTAAAAAAGAATAAATATAATATTGATACACATACATAAAAAACTCAAAATTAGATTGTGTTGTGTGAAGCAAAGTATTTAAGGGTAGAAATGGTGAATAGGAAGCAAGTGATATACTTTTTAAATAATTTTTTGATATTAATAGTATACATTACAACAATATTATTGAAATAAAATTTTGTATGTTTGTTTTATTTGACTGAATAAAATAAAAACTATTGTCCAAATAGGAACAAATATAGTAGCTAAACACATATCCTAATATAAACTGAACAATTGTGCATTTTTAATGCAAATAAAATATATTATAATAATATTATCAAAATTTATTAGACTTCTATTACGATAGAAGAAAAAATAGTAATAAATTTTTACTTAATATTTTACAGACATAAAATTTTTTATGTTACATTTCGTCTTGTCACAGGAAGAGTAGTAAAGCAAATTCGACTAAACTTAATGGCTACTCTCATAACAAAATAGAAAAAGTAAATAGAATATCAAATGGTTACATTGGGTTTTTCTAGAGAAGAAAAAAACTATTTAGTTAATTCAGAATTTCTTTTAGAATAATATATATTATGACCAATGTTTTATTTTTGAAAAAGTAAAATCATCATCAATTTTACTTCATGTTGCTCTCTTAAATAAGCAAAATTATAAGTTCGTTTCTATTCTATGAATTCTATTCAGATTATGAATTAACATTGAAAAAATAGCTCAAATATTCAACAGCCATGTCAGATCTAAAACAAGCTGTTGTAATATGGTTTTCTTTAATGACTCATGACAAAAGTTATTTCAAAAATGCAGTCCATATTATCTGATTAGGAAAAAATAGAAAAATTTTTTTACTTTACATTTTACATTGATAATTTTTTTTCTTTTCTTCTATAAAGCTGTAGCTTAAACGATGGAATTTTAAGTGCAGTCTTACCACAGTTCAATGAACAAAGAAAATATAAATAATATATGTACATAAAATCTAAATAAACTTGTCACTAAGGTATTATTGCTTTATTTGCATCAAAATGATTTACAATTAAAATTATTGCTAAAATTATTGATCGAGTGGCAAACCAACTTTACAATGCAGAAGTTTTATTTCTTAACATTAACAACATTTTTTAAGAAACATTTAAAAGTTAAAAAATACCAGAACTTTCAGAACATTTTTATAAATTATTATCTGTACTTATCAAAGAAACTTTTTATCCTTTTATTATCTAGAGGAACAAAATTGTGAAAGATTAAACTAGTACATTGCTAAGTCTTCAAAAATTACAAATATAACATGAAAATTATAATTAGTATTAATTAAATTAGAAAATTATTAAAAATTTTAAACTTTTTTTCCTCACAACAGTTTTAAAAAGTAGATCAAATCTTTTAAACATACCATACAAAGATTGAATTCATTTTAGTTTTAATCACTTATTTTTTTTTAAAAGAAAAAATCTGAAATTCATACAATAATTAATTTGGTTTCATTTTTATCAGTTTTCAATTTTTTAAACAAAGCATTACAATTGCAAAATGGTTTGAAAATAAAAAGTACCTACAAACCTACATTTGAAAAAACAATAAATATGTTAAATTATACAGATTGTAAATTTGAATAGGACTGTTCTATAATTTTAAGAAATAAAAATTTTGATTACAAATGACAATCTAAAAAATTATAATAAAAATTAAAAAATTTTCAAACCTTTATATCTTACAAGAAATAATCTTATAAGAATAGTGTTTAAACAAGATTTGTGTATTTTCATATATTTTTTCACTTTCATATATAACATGATACTTTTAAGAAGATACAAAAATTCATAAATGCTTTTACCATTATTTTGAGCATCAACAGACTTTTTATCCTCTACATTAGATAATTCAACTGGTACATAAGGATCAGATGATATTGAGACCTAAATAGCATTTACGAAATATTACTAATTGTAAACACTAAAATAATTCATTTTACAATCAATGAAAGATACGTTTCATATATATATATATAAAACTAAGGGAATATATGCCTGATATATATATTTAACTAATGCTTTATACATATTTTTAGCTAAGGAAGAATGCCTAAAAATAAGAGGTTACTACTAAAAAGTTATTACTACTATTTTTTGAAGTTTTTTCTTCAATTTTTTCACTTCTTTTTTAAGGTTTAACTATATACACTACTATTTAATAAAACCATAGTTTTTAAGCTTACATAAAAATTCAGCAGTAAAAATACAAAATAATGTTTTTTTAATTTAAAAGGAGGCGTAAGAAATCTTTTTATTTAAACTAAGTCAGTTCTTTGAATCATATGTGCTCACTTTTAATTATTATTGAAATAAGGATAAACCATATGTCTATGGAACAGCATATAATGCCTAAAAAGTATAGTATTTCATTTTTTTTTTATTCTGTTGCCATAGCAAACACAATTAAAATGAAGTAAAAGATATTTCCTCTTATTTTTCATTCTATTCTAAAAGAAATGTATATTTTATTGACTCACTATTCATTTTTAGTGAATTAAAGATAAACCATAGGTACTTACTTGTTTACATTTTCCATATACATCAATAACAGCATAAACAGGAACAGTTATATCTACAGCCGCAATGCCAAAATCCTTATTGTTTAAGTATACATGAAGGCAGTGCTTTGAGTCAAGTAGTACACCAATTTTATAACCTTTCTGAATATCATTTAAATCTGGACAGAATTCTGATCTAACCTAAATAAGGATAGAGTTTAGTAGTAGAATTTATATTCTTAATAATAAAATTTAAGTTGAATTTTTCAGCAAAAGTGATTATTTTTAATGTCAGATTATAGGAAGAATTAAATGAGACAATAAATAGAACTTATATTGAAAACTTGAAGCGAAAGTTTTCTGATTTTTAAAGGCTTGCTTTCATACAGGTATATGATCAATTATAAATAATAACTATAATAATAATAACTATAAATGTTCAACTAATAGTTTTAAAATAATAATAAAATAAAAGCTTTTTAAAAGCTATCAACATTATTAATTTGAAAGTTTATTCAAATTATTAATAATAATTTACAGACAAATTAGCTTTTTTATATCATGACATTTATTTTAAAAAAAAATAGTTTAAACTATTTTGTGAAGTTAAATGTATGCAGATAAAAAAAAATGATGTATTTCATTTTTTTTAATACAGTGGGTGATCGGTTAACGAACATAATCAGTTCCAGGACTATGTTCGCTATCCGAATTGTTCGCTAACCGATCATCGATTCACCATAGACTTCTATGTGAAATCGATTAATTCGTTCTGGAGATCCTAAAAATTAAATTTTAAAAAATGTATCATTTCTTAGTAAGTTTTTAAAAAAAATAATACATACATATAGTCTTGCATATTAATCAGTCCTTTTCATTTTTTGCATGTACAAAGAACATGTCCAATGTCGATTGCTTTTTTCTCTTTTTCAGGATTGATTTTAGTCATAATAATAATTATTGAATGACCTTTAAATTCATTGTTAATTCAAGTTTCATTTAGTAATTATCAACACTAAGCACGCTTTAAACATTTCTCCTTTCAGTGATCTTATTTTGTGTGCAAAATGATAACAAATGTTTAATATTAATTTTTTTTCAGGCCGAGAAGTGTTCGTTAGAATTCGTTTTGTTCATTATCCGAATGTGTTCGTTGTCCGAACACAAAAAATCTTTCCTCAAAGTGTTCGTTATCCGAACACAAAAAGCTTTCATGAAAGTGTTCGTTAACCGATTTGTTCGTTAACCGATCTGTTCGTTAACCAATCACCCACTGTATGTAAAAAATATCATATTTTGCCACATCTGAGGTACAGTAAAAAAAAATTATATCATACTTGCATTTCAAATAAATAGAATACAAAAAATTCTGACGATATATATATATATATTTTCAGACAAAAATTTGCAAAATTATAACTGAAAATCTGCAGAAATTAATGTTGCTGACAGTCCTAAAACATATGGTGTAAGTATATAATTCTTAAAGCTTGTTTCACCACTATAAGATTATTATTATGTTGCCTAGACATAAAATTTTGCAACAGTTTTTTGATTCAGTTCTTATCAGGTTAATTCATACAATACTTATCTTTAAAATTAATTTTAAAAATTAAAGAATTTAATATTTATCAGTACCGGCAATCCATTATGAAAAACACAATGACCAGATATTATCCACGTGTTGGATTTCAAATGCAATGCAGACGTCGGAAGTTTAATTTGATCAGGGTTCAGATCAGTTACGCCAATTTGAATACAGCCAGAATAATCAGGCTCAATTTCGTCAATTTGTACCTGTAAAAAATTGTATCAAAAAAACTTTTTTTAAATATTTTTTTTTTCCTTTTGATAATATTACAAGAAAAATAATACTACAACATACTTGAAAAAGTTCTTCATTTTCTAATGGCTTGCATGAGAATAACACTCCATCATTATAGCCAGCTATTCTTACTGCTGACAAATTATCATTTTTTAATTCCACATTTTTGCAATGGATTTTATGAAACAAAGTTAATGCAGAATTAGCATTCACAGGAGTGATACTCTGAAAAAGTATATCAGTTAACAATTAGTCATTTGGTCAAAAAAATACTTAAAAAAAATAGTTATGAATAGTAATGTCCTTTTAAGTAATAAGTGCTCCTTCATAGGTTGTTTTAAAATGTCCTTACTTAACTCTCAATTGGAATTATTTTTCTACTACACAATTCGATGATTTAATATTGTTTAAAATTGAATTTTGGTTCGTTATTAAATATATATAGAACTTCGTATTTTTATTTTAAATGTTTCAGTGATTTAAATAATTTTGAAATATTTAGAAAATTTAATTTTATAATAATCCTCTTAGTTTCTCATTAAAATTTTTTTTAGACTTTTAAACTGGATAAAAATTAATAAGCTTTACAAAGTGCTTAGTTAAAAGTTTCGAAACAACTTATCTCCATCACTTATATAACTTATCTCTATTAATTTTTTCTTATAATAATAATAAATACGTATATGATCCTCAATTCCTCCTTATGAAATTTCAAGAGAAAAAACTTATATATATATATATATATATATATCGAAAATAAAATAATACATTTTATGTATGTCTTTATGAGGAGTTAATAAGTCGTAAATTGGCAATTAATAAAAAAACTTTCGTGGGAGATGGATTCTGGGATGTATTCGGGACATTTCTGAAATTACAGCAAGTCTAAATTTTTATGTTTTATTTTTTTTTAAACTAAAAGACCATGGAAAAATCTCTCATTTACAACCACTTACTATAAAACGTTAAAAATGCCGTACTGCACGCAAAAAAAGAGATAATTTTGAATAGACTTAGACTTAGAGGTTGGGCAGCTCTGACGAGCAGGGCACATCGACCAGAGGTCTATTGTACCCAAACCCTAAAATCATGATTAGCATGAAAGCCTTATGGCTGAAATAAAATTCAGCAAGCACCTTACAGGAACATCTTGCAGTTCCCAGGCATTGATGATATGCTGCCCTAAATGCTTAAATCTTTGAGCAGAATAGACCTCACAATCACAGAGTATGTGTCGTGATGTCTCTTCTTCTAGATGACATCCCCGACAAAGAGAATTGGGTTCTATTCCCATAATGTTTAGGTGTCTCCTGAGGATACAGTGACCAGTAAGAATACCTATGATCTTCCTTATACTGTTTCTATTAAGCTTTAAAAGCGCCTTTTGACGTACACTAGGACAGTCTCGATTCAGCTCCTTAGCTTGTCTCTGACCGTCAGCAGCGCGCCACTGCTCATGGGTGATCTTGCCGTAGAGCTTGAATATGGTTGCCCTAAATGAGGAGGGAGAAATTCCCAGCGCAGGTTCAGGGTGTCAGACTATGGATTTCAATGAACAAGGTTCGAGTAAGAGTCAGAGATCACGAGTTCGAAAAACCTCTGAAGGAGGGAGTTCGAACATTTAAAAATAATTCAAAGACAGAATTTGCATAGTATTAATTTTGAGTGTGTAAGTACCCTCATTATGCAAGTGTTACTTTGTATATATATATAAC